CCCAAACCCCCTCCCCCGGTCCTCCCCCCTCCCCGCGCTCTTACCTGTGCTCCTCATCCAGGGGTAGATTCGGAAGTTGCTGTCGCTCTGCAAATCCGAGTCCCTCGGGTCCGTTTTGCTGCAGCTCTGCTTGGAGGCGTCTCCCGGGCACATCATGGAGAGGTTTTGCTCGAAAGGGGAACAGTGCATGTTGAAGGAGCCGGGCTCCAGGCCGTAGCCCGAGGAGTACACGCTGGGGGGCTGGGGGTGCACGGAGCTGCCCCCGGAGTAGAGGCCGGGCATGGAAGCGGCGAAGGGAGGCGTGGATGCGGCCCCATAGCCCGCTCGTTGGCTGTTGGAGGCGAAAGCGCAAGAAGTTTGCTCGGGAAACACTCCGGATGGGAAAACCGAACTTGCGGCTTGATATTTAGAAAATAAAGCATTCGCATAATACAATGAACTCATAATTTGGCCGGGTGATTTGTAGGTCGGGACGTTTTAGTGTCGGTTTTACGAGGTACCGTGATATATTACGGAATTAGAGTCCAGATTTACACCAAAAAGGAGCCTTTTTCCTCCCGGCCCCGGTGACGCGCGGGCACGTGGCCGCGCCGGCGCCAATCGCCGCCCGCCCCCTCCTCGGGGGCACGGGACTGTGCGGCTGGATTTATAAAATATGATAAATAATTGATGTCCTATAAAACCCCGCGCGATCTCTGCTGGAAGGGGTGAAATTGTGCTGGAGTCGATAAGCAACCTGTAATCAGTTTTTGGTTTTTTTTTTTTTTTTCTTTCAGCTCGGAGCGAGGAAGAAAGGCGGGGGGGTGGTGGGGGGGAGGAAAAAATTAAAAAAAAATACATGAAGAAGGGGAGGGGGTTACAAGCACGTTGCTGACAAACCAGCGAGGCTCTCTCGGTCTCTCTCTGCTGGAGGAAAGGGAAGGGAGTTCTATTTATCCCTTTATTGATCCCCTCTAAATTTCCCCTCCTTCGCACCATTTCCTCGGCTCCGAGCTACTTTTTTCTCCAGACTGTCCATAATTCCCCCCCCCCCCCCCCCCCCCCCCCCAAAAAAAAAAAAAAGACAAATGTCTCATTGATACCTAATAGTTCCAGGCGGGTTTTTTTCCACCCCCCAAATGCCGCGCAGCTCTGTATCTGATTTATTCCAGCGCCACGGGCTTTGAGCCGCGCATCGAGCTGGCATTCGCGTTTCTTGTTGGGGAAAATAAAGGGGGCTGGGGTCTCTTGTTCGGCGCTTCTGCGGGGCCGAGCAGCTGCCGGCTCTGCTTTCTGCTGGCCAGCCACGGGAACCATCCAAAAACGCGAGCTCACCCTTGGGTTTTTTATTTATTTATTTTTTAATGTGCGGCCCCGGCTGGGGTGGGATGGGGAGAGGGGTGTAGAGAGTAAGAAAAATAAAAGAAAAATTTAAAAAAAGCAACAAAACCACCTCTGGGAGGCAGGAAAAGCAGACAATGGTGCGGGGTTCGCGCTGCTTTCTCCTTCCCCAAGGTTACAGCATCCCCGGCTCAGCTGCGCTCCTCACAAAGCCATCCCCACCCCGCACCGGGAGCGCCCGGGGCTGCCGCGGGAGGGCCAGGAGAGCGCCAAAAAAACACCAAAAACCCAAAAAAAACGCCGCGAAACGCACCGGAGGTTACCTGCAGAGGGGGTCTCCAGGAGCCGCCCGAGCTGTCAGGGCGGGAGGAAGAGGAGGAGAGCAGCAGGAGCAGCCCCGGGCCCTTCCCCTCCCCGGCCCCAGCCCTGCCCGGCCCGGCCGAGCTTTTGCCTTTTTGTCCGCGCACAAATTTTGAGTTTTTTAAATTTCCTTTCCATCCCAGCGGTTGCAGGAGGAAGCGGAGCAGGGCGAAAAGAATGATGTCACGGAATTCTCGCTTGTAAACTTTATTGTAACTTTTCTTCCGCCGCTTCCAGGTTTAGACAATAGAACAAAGTGGTGAAAGAACAACAAAATATAGCATTAGTTCCCCCAATAAAGTAATTCACGTATACAGTATACATTCTTTTTCACAGTTAACCTAAAGATCACTTTACAACTTGATTCACTGTGCGCATGCTAACTAAAGGAGAGAAAAACGCTTTTTTTTTCTTTTTTTTTTTTTTTTTTTTTTTCCCCTTTGGAAGGAACATTAAAAAATTGGGTTAAAAAAAAAAAAAGGAAAAAAAAAAAACTAACCGAGGCAAAGAAGAGGAGGGGAAAGTGAAGAGAGAGAAAGAGAGATAACTATAGCATAAATAGGCAGTTTCATGTTGTTGGGATGTTTGTCTCAATAGCTACCTCCAGTACACACAGATAAACCACAACAAAAATAAAAAACCAAACAGGACTGGGGAAATCACCAACTAAAACCCCCAAATTAAAAAAAAAAAAAAAAAAAAAAGTGCACAAATGTAATATCACATAACTCCTCTAGCGCTGAAAGCTATGTTAACCAACCCACCCCCCACGCCCCCGGAAAGAAGAGAGAGACAGGAGAGAAAGACAGAGAGAGAGAGAGGGAGAGGATTTCACAGTCATGTTTTACAGAAGCTATTGCGTTACACTACCGCTAGTTAATAACTGGCAAAAGGCAGCCGAGAGCTCCCGGAGCCTCCCGCCTCCTGCTTTGTATCAAAGCAGGATCGGGAAAGTGGCGCTCGCAGCTATATTGTTTTACAGCAATAAAAGGGGTTGGTTTTGTTGGGTTTTTTTGTGGTTTTTTTTGTGGTTTTTCTTTTTTTTTTCCTTTTTTTTTTTTTCTTTTCTACGCTTTGTTTTTCTGGTTTGTTGTTTTTGTCCCCCCCCCCAGCCCAGCCCACCCCTCCCTTACACCGACTGCCATTAACGCGGGGCTCGGGGGCTCTTCCACCCCAGCAGCGCTTGCCTTTCAGTCCTCAAAAATCCCTTTATTTCTTGTCCGCCTTCTGTGCTTCCCCTTCCTCGTCCACCTCCTGGGCTCTTTCCATTTTCTGTTTTTCCAGTTCTTCCTGCTCGCATTTGCTGCTGGGAAACTTGTCTTTGTTGTTCTCCTTTTTCCATTTCATCCTCCTGTTCTGGAACCAGATTTTGACCTGCCTCTCTGTCAATCCCAGGGCATGCGAGACCTCGATCCTCCGTTTGCGGGTCAGGTAGGGATTAAATAGAAATTCCTTCTCCAGTTCCAGCGTCTGGTAGCGGCTGTAGGTTTGCCTCCCCCTCCTGCGTCCGGCGGCTGCTGGGGGATGGCAAAGGTTGGGGTGGGAGAGGGGGGAAAAACCAGAGAAGGAGCTTGAGAGAAACATAAACCAGGCTCGGACGAGCCAGAGACCCCGGCAGGAAAAGCGGGAGGGAGAGGATGTTCCAGAGGGGAGATGGAGCCGGGGGAAGAGGGAGACCGGGGGAAGGAAAAGGGGAGAGGAAAGGGAGGGGGGGGGGTCGCCCTCAGCCCACCCCGAGCAGCCCGGCTGGAGCTGCGCTTTGCACACTGATTATCACCCCCAGCGCGACCACAGCGCAGCCCGGCCCCCCCAAAAAACAACCCCAAAAAAAGGGGAATAAATAAAAAGCTGCACCCGGAGAGAGGAGGCAGCGCGGCCGAGAGCCCGGAGCGAGCGGCGAACAAAAATGAAGGGGCTTTTTTTGAGGCTATAAAAGTGCCATAAACTTTAAGGACGCTTCCTTCCACAGAAAGCCCGGCTCGCTCAAGCCCCCAGAAGAAAAGGTCTCCTTCAGGGTAATTAAACTATAAAGCAATTTACAAGTGCAAAAGTTTACCCCCATAAAGCAGTAAAATACAGTCACCGGGGGGAAGAAAAAGGCGAGCGAAAGAAAGAAAGCCGGCAAAGAAGCGGGGGCGACAGAAAGAAAAGCAAAACACACCAACAAAAACTAAAAACTAAAGGGGCTGGGGGGCGAGCCGGGGGTTACTTCCCTACTCTCCGTTTTCGCCTCACCTTGCGGTCGCATCCAGGGGAAAAGCTGGGTGGGAGAAGGGCTCTGCTCGGAGCTCTCCGCCTCCTCTCCGAGGCCGCTGGCGGCCAGCTTGCAGTCCGCGTACTGCACCAGCTCGGGCTCCTGCGCCCCGAACAGGCTCTGCCGCTGCAGGGGCTCGTAGCCGTAGAAGTTGCCCGGGTCCCCATGGCACGCCACGGCGCAGGGGTTCTGCTGGTAAGGGGAGCTGGAGAGCGACGAGGCGCCGTGGTAGAACTCCTGGATTTGGGGAGGGTGCTGGAAGGTGCCCCCCGTGCTGGGTCCGTACACCACGGTGGGTCTGCCCCCCAGATCCTGGGCGAAGCCACAGTCATAGTAATTGGGGCGCAGGGAGTCGCCGGTTTTGTATTTGGAGAAGAGTGAGTTGACAAAATAGGAGCTCATTTTAATTTCAATAAGAGGTTGTTGGTTTTTTTTTTTTTTTTTTTTCCCCTTTTCCTTTTTTTTTTTTTTTTTTTTAAAGCAGGCGGAAAAAAAAAATTTAAAAAAATTATTAAAAAAAAAAAAAAATCACCCCCACAACAAACCAGACCGCGAGAATCTATTAGCAAAAAAAGAAAGCGCTAAGATGCTAAGCAACGACAGTTTGTGATTTCCAGGAATATAAAAGGAGGATATAATCAAAACTCTAAGCCTGCATGATATTGAATTCTTTCCTCCCCCCCCACCCCTAAAAAAAAAAAAAAAAAAATCGCCACTTAAAGAGTTCTCGCTTTACATTTCCAAGAAGAGATGCCAGTTCATAAACAGTTTTCAGTGATTTACTTCAGCGCAAATGAGTTGTTTCATATTTTGCAGTGTCTTTTCATGATCATTTGCATCTATTACCAAAACCTCATCCTATTGGCTTCTCCTTACTCCACACGGACTCTGCACCGCATGATTGTGAAAGGAAGAGTGTGGGAGAATAAAGAAGGAAAAGCGAGCGAGGGGGAGCGAGAGAGGGAGAGGGAGAGGGAGGGAGAGGGGAAGGGAGAAGGAGGTGGGGTGAATATACGGATTAAATATGTTTAACTACCTCCATTAATGAGATATCGCTCGCCTCGCGACAAATCACGTACCTAGACCACCCAAAAGATTGATTTTTGGGGAGTGTTGGAAAATTAAAGAGGAGCGCTCGCAGTCGTTAATTTCAAAATTTTAACGAGGCAGTTTTAGCCTTTTTAAATGTCAGGGTCGCTTTGGAAAACTGTAAAAGAACACGATTTAATTGCTACCAGTTTTAAAAGGTCCTATAAATGTAATTGGTATTTTAATACAAGTTATCAAATCATACAGCTTCTTATCCTAAACATATTTTAAAACAAACGAGGTAGTCATATTTAACATTTTAATGATCAATTTCCTTATTATTGATAAAGGTTTAACTATCGCATGAAGGGAATTGCGTTTGTAATAGCCCCAAAAAAGGCTGTAAACTGTTTAACAAACTATAAAGCGCCATAAAGCCGGGGATGTTGTTGTTGTTTATGCCGCACTCCATAAAAGCCGTTCGGGTTTTACGAGCGCGCTCCTCCGCCGCTGTAAACCCCGGCCTCGCACCGGAGCCTTCCGCGGCCGCGGCGAGGCGCGGAGGTGTCAATATTGAATTAAAACCGTCGCACTTTTCCAGCTAGAACATCGACTCCGCGCCGCTCGCCCTCGCTGCCTCCTCCTCCTCTTCCTCCTCCTCCTCAGCCAGGACTCGCTCGGGGGTGACTCCAAACTCCAAACTCCAAATTTGAGGCTCCGCTGGCCTCCAGAGCTGAGACCCTCCCCTCTGGCAGCCCCACCTCGCCCCCAGAACTTCCAGCTCTTTATTCCATTCCTCTTATTCCATTCCTCTTTATTCCATTCCTTTTTATTCCATTCCTTTTTATTCCATTCATTTTATTCCATTCCTTTTTATTCCATTCCTTTTTATTCCATTCCTCTTTATTCCATTCCTCTCTACTCCATTCTTTTTATTCCATTCCTCTTTAATCCATTCTTTTTTATTCCATTCCTCTTTATTCCATTCTTTTTTATTCCATTCCTCTCTATTCCATTCTTTTTAATTCCATTCTTCCTTATTTCATTTTTTTCCCCCCACCCACTTCTTCCCAGGGAAAAACCGGGGGGATGGGGACGGGGAGAGAGAAAAGATTTCTCTTTTATTGGCATTTGGTAACGGCGGAGCCGAAGTTGCCCCTCGGATGCCAGCGCTGCAATTTTCCACCGCCGGAACACACAGGGGGTAGATTTGGAAATTCATTTCTCGCACTCAGCAAATATTACCCAGACGTTTCCCAGTTAATAACGACTGCGCTGCCCCGGCCCCTCCAGAGCCCCCCGCAATTCCAGCTGGATTTTCCTTCCCAGCCTCTCTTTTTCCACCTCAATTTCGGGGTTTTTTTCCCCGCTTTGCCCCGCCTGTTTCTGCTGTTTCCCCATCGCCTCGGTCTGAAGGCAAAAAGTGAATTTTAGGAGGGTTCGGCTCCTGCCCGCCTCCAGCTGAGGGACAAAATTCAACCTCCGCCGCACGAAAAAAAAGAGGGAAAAGTTGAAATATTTCCGTTCTTCTACCTTGGTTAAAAAAAAAATCAAAAAATCCTCACTAAAATTATCAGTGGGGAAGGCAGGGAGCGCAGGAAGGCAGAAAAGAAGAGGAAAAAAATAAAAAAAAAGAAAGAAAACAAAGATAGCAACGGAATAAAACTTTAAACCCATCCTTTGAGAAATAATTTAAGTAAATACGCTTCTTTATTTTGTGGAGGGATAATTCCAGCGGAGCCTAAGAGCCTTTCCCAGTAATTATTGCTGCCGGAGCACTTGCGGCGCTATAATTAAGGCTTTTCTCGCCCCTCTAAAAGACGAGTTAACATTTTCTTTTTTCTCCCCACTTTTATTGCCAATTGAGCAGATTTTGGGTTTCATCGCGCAACATAAAAAGCCCCGAAAATGGTGCAGAGGAGTAAACAGAGCTTCGTAACCTGGCAAAGGGGGAATATTCAGGGGAGAGGGGGGGAAAAAAATCAAAATTAAATGGAGAAAAGTGATTTTCCAGCAGAAGTTTCTCCCGCTGTGGGTGTTCCCGAAGTTTGGGAAGGGGAAAAAGGGCAGGAATTGGCGGAAGTTGTGGTGGGAAGGGAAGGTTTTGCTGGAGTGAGGATGGGTTTGGGAGCTCCGCGAAGCCCCGAAATCAATGGCTGATCCTAAATCATCGCCGCGCCGGACTCGGCTCCCGATGAAAGGAAAATGTTTCCATTCCAAGGAAAACCGAGCGGGGCCGGGCGCGAGTGCGTGCCGCGGAGAGATAATTTATAAATACCCAGCGGAGGAAAGATTTTTTGGGAATTCATAAGGAAAAAAAAAAAAATAATAATAAAAAATGAAAGATCCTCAAATCCTCTCCTTGCTAAACCCCAAGTTCGCTCTGCTCTGCCTCTGGCCGAATGCACAGGGGCGAGATTTTTCTTCATTTCCCTCATTTGTTTCTGTTTGCGCTCGTATTTCACTCCGGGGCGTTGAAACGGAGCCTCGAGGTGCCCAAACTTTGCCTCTCCCAATAAGAATTCCCACCCTGGGCTGCTGCGTGTGGGTTGGAATCGATCCGCCCTCACCCAAAATCTTGATTTTTTGGAGCGACGGGAGCGGTTTCGGGTGGAACTTGGGAGCAATTCTCAGTCCGGGAAAAAAAAAAAAACCCGTTTGTACCAATTTGAAAGAAAACCCATCTTGAAATTATTGCCGCGGTTTGTAGCGGGAGAATTACAACATCTGAGTCTTTTTTTAATTTTTTTTTTTTTTGCCTCGTAATTCTGAGGAATCAAAGGCCAAAATCAAAGTGAACTCGTGGAGTTAAAAGTTGACGTTATTGCCGCCGCGTCAGGGGTGTATTCATATGTACCCCAAACCCGGGTGGTTTAAGAGCGTTTTGGGTTCATTTACTCGTTCGTGGCATTTAAAAAAAAATATTTCTGAAGCTGTTAAAGTGAAGAATTCAAGCGAGGAGCATCAGCCTTGCCCAAAGATGGGGCAGTGGCTCAACTTCTAAAAGAAACAAATGCTCTTGTTTTGTTGCATGCTTGAGTTGGTTTTTTTTTTATTTTTTCTTTTTTTTTTTTTCTTTCCTGCGGTGGCTGGGATTATAAAACACATAAAATATCGAGCGGGGAAAGCGCAGATCATCCTAACGGCCGAGAGGAAAAATATCGTCCCGGTCCTGCGCGTCCCTTTCTCCCCGAAATCTTCGAGCCGCTCTCTTTTTTCAACCCTGCAGACGTAAATCTGCGGGCTTGGGGTAATTTCAGCTGTCCTCCCACCTCCAGAGCAGCAGAAAACAAAACCCGGCTCTTTTTTTATTCCCTTTTAAACCAACATTTAGCAGAGATGCGCGCCCCACCTCGTTGCCGCGCGTTGCGGGGTGTTTTTTCCCTTCGCAGCTTGGCATAATTTTATAAAAAAAGGAGGAGATGTAAGCTATAAAATGGGCAAAACGGCGATAATTAACCCAATATTTTACCTAATGGGATCAAGGTGTTCGCGCCCAGGGGGCGCCTCTAACGTGGAGCAACGGCTCCACCTCGCGGCCGCGCGCGGAACTGCAGCGGAGAGTCCCCGCCGGGGAAAAAACCCCAAAAAAGGGAAAAAAACACCCCCAAAAAAGGGGAAAAAGCATCAAAATTAAAAACGCCGCTCCTCCCTGCGAGGATGAAACAGAGTAAAAAAGTGTAAAAAAAGGAAAGGAGGCGAGGGAGGGAAAGAGGAGGAAAGTGAGGATGAGTTTTTTTGTCACCTCTCCGCCCTCGCCGCGCTGGAGTTTTCTCCAAGCGCGGCAATAAAAAAATAAAATTTATAAGAAAAAAAAAAAAAAAAAAAAAAGAAGAGGAGAAGCGAGTTGGCTTTTGAAACGAGCTATTGTTTCAAATTCCGAGACTAAACAATTGGTCATTCTGCTGCCCGGGGCTGTAAAGTCATAAAGAGCTTCCCCAGCCCAGACGTCTCGCCAGAACTTGGAGTGCGCGGGCGCTGGGGGTGCCTCCTGTGCGTGCGTTGTTGTTGTTTTGTGCAGGCCTGGAATTGCTTTAAAGAGGAAAAAAAAGAAAAAAAAAGGGGGAAAAAAAAAAAAGGAAAAAAAAAAAAAAAAAAAGAAAGAGAAGGGGGGGGGGGGGAAGGGGGAGGAAAACCAACCAGCAATTCCCTCCCCACCTGATATTGCAGGGATTTTTGTAAGGATTGGGAAAGGCACTCAGCAGGAGCGTCCCTTCAGATAAAGGATTTCTAACAGGAAAATAAAAGGGATTTTTCCCAGACAAATAATTCATGGAAGTCCCAAAACATCCTCCAGCTGCAGGAGCCTGGAATTTCCTGTCACCTTCCAAGCAAATCAGCCTGCTCGGAGTGCAGGGATTTTAAAATTCAGAGAGGAACGAGAAACGC